CAACAGTGCTCATGCGACGATGGTACTACAACTGGTCAATGATAGGAAAAAAGTTGTGACATGCATAGTGGCAGTCATACCGACAGTAAAGTTCACACAGATAAGATAAGGTATTGTAGCAATGATATCGACAATAAAGTTGACAAGAGATGTCGGTAAAGGCATTGGCTATAGGTGAGATGCAGTGTCGAGCGGTCCAAACGGGGTGCAGGGTTTTTCGAAGAGGGCTAGTAGTAAAGACGTCATGCTTGCAGGATGCGTGGTAGATGGTCTTATGTTCCTCGCTGGCCTCTGTGGAATGTCTGCTTTTCACATTCAGGACTTCCGTAGGGTCCGCTGGTCTCGGGGCCTGTCGGACTGTCCGACTGGAGCTGAGCCCTAGTCCTGAACCCTATGCCACACCACGCTCTGATGGGCGAACCCAGACCCCAGCCAGGATCCCGAGCACCAAAGCCTGAACACTCGGAAGCATAGCACAAGGGCCTCAGAATAGGACAGCATCATTCCCTGACAAACACCACATGCTTGTCCAACGGAGTTCAGGCCGGCCTGTACATTGAGGCTGCTGGATTCAATATAACCCAAGCAGGATTGTGCCCATCTCTTCTGTCATGGTCCTGTGTGAGTGGCTCCCATTATTTTATGCTGTGCTTACTGGGTACTGCAAGTTATGACATCAAGGCTCTGGGATGGGGTGAGGGATGGTGAGGGTTAGCCTGTGGGGTGTGAGAGAGGAAATCTATTGACATTCGAGTCGAGTTGTGGTTTGGCCAGCTAGGATGTGACCCCGCATTATCATTATACTGTTGGATATTGATGATTCTTCAATATGCTGCTTAATTTGAGCTGGCAGAAATTACCTAAATCTGCCATTGGCCAAGATGTATGCAGAAACAGCCCAGGTTTGTCCTGCCTGGGCTCTGCATGATCAAGACACGCCCCTCACTCAGCCGGCTGTGCTCGGTTCACTTGCAAAGCAGAAGGTGCCGAAGCTGCCTGGCTTGATGAACGAGTGAGCGAGGTCAGAAGCCTGCGACCAAGGCTTGCACCCGCATGATGTTCGGCAAGGAGAGATCAAGAAATAGTCCTTCAATGCAGGGAAGCAGCTTGTCTTAGGGTCGCGCTGGGCGATGCAGGAAGTGCAGATCAAGGCGCAGAAGGCGCGGACGATCGTCAAGGCGATGCCTCTGGCAGCACTGAAGAGCCAGGTGTGAAGGGGTAGGCTCTGAGCTGGCAGCAGAACTGCACCTGGCTCCGTGCTTGTCGATGGGGTTCGACGGTAGGCACGTGAAGCGAGTTGCATTCAGCGAGGGCCGTGTTCGTGCGCAATCAGACGCACGGGCGTACGACTTACATGCCGGGAGAAAGAGGAACTGCTTGCAATTGAAGCTCTTCGGTGATTCTTGGCGTTTCGCCGTCGCATGTACGTTGGCTCGCTAACTAGTCGTTCCACATGTCTCGACTAACATAATTTTCTCAAACGTATCCATGCATCCATGCATGCATATTTAAGCTCGTTGTGCGAACTCGTTATGTACATATGTACATATCATGCACACATACATATTCACACCCAGGAACTAAGACATGCACACATACGTACTTCATATAGGTGTGACATTAATGCGCATGTATGTATACATATATATATATATATATACACACACACACACACACTAGCACGGGTTTGTCAATAATTTCGCTCGTCTGGTCGTTCTGTGTTCGTCTATCCGTTTGTCCGTCTGTCTGTAATTCGGTTTCTTCGTCTTTCTGTCCGTCCGTCCGTTCGGTGGCTGCTTCGTTCGTTCTCAGCTTCGTCCAGTTATTCATCCATTCTTTCAACGCTTTGTTCGTTCCTCCGTTCGTTTGATCTTTCATTCGTTCGAGCGTTCGTTTAATCAATCAGTCAGCTATTCAGTCAGTCTGTTTGTCACTCGTCCGTTCATGCTCATATGACGACGTCTGACCAGTACCATTCCAAAACCCCAAGCCCCAAGCAGCAGCAGCTGCAGCTCCCCAATAAAACCCCTATATAAGCCACTCCGAAACCACTGAACCCTAGAACCTGCGAGAATAAGAACAAACGAAAGGAGGGATTTCCGCATCAACGCCCACCAAGCGAGCCCCCGCCGCCTGCCTACACGTATTGACAAGATAGATAGATGGACAGCTAGATAAATAGATAGCTGGGATAGATAACCAGGTCGATAGGTAGGATACTCACTTACACGGATCGGCCGTTGCAGCTCAAAGCCCTCCCGCCAAATGCAGGAACGCCGGGCCTCAGTTGTGGCTTTGGGCCGTGCGCGGAACTGGCGGCACGGTTCCCGGACAGGCTTTTTGGCGTTTTGACGGCTGCCCCGGAAATCACCTGCTAGTTTTGCTTACGCTGCTTCGTTGCTTACTGTTGTTGTAGTATTGCACGGTTGCAGGTTCGCAGGTCGGGGCTTACCTTGGTGACGCCGCTAGTTACTGAGGTCGGCAAGTTACGAATGCATGTGTCGTAGGAAACCTGGAACTAGCAGCAGTAGCCCTCGTGACAGAAACCTGACTGAAGAAATCTCAATTTCTAGTAGTGTACCTGTATGATTGTCTCTAGCAGTCAGCCGTGTCAGGGTCGCTTGCAATGCCTCGCAACTCCACCGCAACCAGATTGAAGCTGAAGATGGCCCGTCCTCAGGCGAGCTTTGACGGAGTTCGCCGCGTTGTCAGGCAATGGTGTTCGCGAAATGGTGAAAGATCTGAACTGCCCATTCCCGTCGTAGCGCATGAAACGGTTGCGTTTCGTACCACTGATACCTGAACTCTACTGTACGACAAGTCTTTGGTTTTGTGCGGGTGTAGGGCTCCCGGATTCACATACTGTCGGCTCTAGGATTCATGGTTTTGAGATCGGGGTTTGGGAGTTTGCCTGGTTTCCAAAGCTGTTCCAAGCCGCCAAACTCCAAGTCGGACAGAATCCGACCGAGCCAGACAGAGACAAATCAACAAAACAAAACAAGGCGAAGCGAAGCCCAGCAAAGCAAACTACAAAGTAAGCCAGTCAGCAAGCAAGCATGCTTGTATACAAGCATACACATACCTTCCTGCAGGCACACATACAAGCACGCAAGCACGTGCACAAATGTGAGTGCACGGACACAGATACACATTCAATCTCTGGGCAGCAGGCAAAGCCCACCTTCCCACGCAGCAGCGACGGCCAGGCCTCGAGCCCGAGACTTCGCTGGTGAATGCGGCTGCTGCAGCGTACACACGAGGCCTACCAGGGCATTTGAGGAACCCAGGTTCGTGCTGAGGTTATTGCTCCTGCTGGTCGTTTCTTTTATCGATCGTGGTTGACAGTTGAAACTTCAGGACTTTAGCTTTGGCTTTCGCAGTTCCAGCCGCGAGGACAAGGGTTAAGTATATTTAGGCGCTTCTGGATTTTTGGCGGGTCCCTCTTGACTAGAATTTTGCTTGCGGGGGCGGATAGGGTCCAAATGATGAATGCCCAAACCCTCATCCCCGAACGCCAAATCCTAAGACATCGAAGCCTGCGACAGCTGGCTTGAAGGTTGTGACCTTGACCTTCACCCCCGAGCTTAGCGAACGACATTATTTTGATGTCTCGACTTGTTGCTGAGTTTTGAACCTTCGCTCCTAAGCATACCCGAACATGAACCCCACCAGGTATCCTGAATCTTTACAAGTACGAAGCGGACGCATAATTGTGCACAGTTGGCTTGATTAGGGTTTACCTTCTGCCCGGCTGCTTGGTGAGTGGGACTTTGCAGACTCGGCGGCTTTGATCTCAAGTCAGCCGGTCCGCGGCACCCCACCGGCCCTACCTTACCGATGGTGCTTCCCTTTCGCAATGCGGGACCTTGCTTGAGAGCAATCTGGACCTGGTCAAGCGTAACGCAGACATAACTTGTGTTCCCCCAACACCGACACTCGGAAGCCCTCAGTCTGACCCACGCATATAGAATACTGTGCTTGCTGTGCTGCCACTGGCATGGCCATTCTTCGAGACTTCGTGCTGAACGGCTATCATGCCGCTCGGAACTTTCATTAGGTTCGGGGATTCGGATCTCCGAGGTAAGTACGGCTCAAGCTGTGCTGCGCGGGTAGGGTTTGTCTAGATTTCCTGTCGGTGTATTGAGCGGCCGCTATTCGCCTCGCCATCCCCCCGCTCCCTATCCTCGGATTCTTTTTGAGAAGCTGGCCCGACGGAAAGCGCGCCGCCCACCGCCGCCGGCCCAACTTTTGTCACCGCCACCGCCCGCACTAGAACCGTCACCATCATGACCACCACCGCCACGGCCTACCGCCACTACCAGTCACTTGGGTCCAGCTGCTGCAGCAACACATTCTCTTCAGGTACTGCACGTGGACGGCCCTCACAGCACCATCCGGAACAAGCTGGTGTCCTGGCAGCAGGGCCCATGTCGTGAAGCCTTGAGTGTTTATCGCAAGCCGAACGCACGACCTCGCCCGAAGTAAGCTGTTTGGGGACCGGGACGGCGCACTTGACAATGTCTCCGCCCACAAGAATCGTGCCAAGTCTCCCTCCAGTGTGCAAAGCGAGAGGCTAGACACTCGCATTACCTGGAAATAGGACGCAGCTCGACAAAGTCTGTTGGTATGGTTCTGGTTTGGAGTTTGGGTTTGGGACTCCTGAACATCTGGCATGTGCATCAGGATGGCATTGCCATGTCGCGACCTGGCCATCCCGAGCTCCTTGGCAATGCATTTCCGCTTCTCGCACATCTTCACATGCTGTGTTTGAGAACTCCTATCCAGCATGCGCGAACCTGCAAACCTGAATTGTCGACATCATCATATGACACATAGCGGCACAGTAGAAGCAAGTGTCACAGAAACGAAACTGCTTGTGCAGAAGCACTAGGGGATTTTTACGGGTGCAGGCCTTCACAACTATCCTGGGTCCAACAAAGACCACGTGGTCCGTCCTTTGTGTGAGCTTGATGTTATGCCAAAGCAGTCTTTTCACAAAGTCGTTAACACATTCTCAGCAGGCATAGAAATCCAGAAGATCCGGATACTGATGTGTGCCTGTCGGAGATCAGATCACTTTCAAAGCTTCTCCTCAGCCCAGGCTGCAGGAGCTGTTCGTCATCGAGAACCTGTTCGTTCTTGTCCCGGAGCTGGAGGCTGCCGGAATGTGACCACCTTGGGACCTTGGGAATGTTTTAAAGAGCGGCCTCCCATGGCGCGCCCCATGACAGTCCCTGCTGATCTTGTAAGGGTTTAGGGTCTTGCTCTCTGCTGACAACAATCGGAGTTGAAAATAGGAACACAGCAGCACCAGCAGCAGCAGCAATAGCCGGCCGCGCAGGTGCACTAGACTTGCCAACGGTGCTAGTGTGCTGCTGTAACTTATGTTTGCTGCTGCTGCTGTCCGTGCTGCCCACTTGTAAGACGATGATGTTGCTTGCAAACACCCCAGTGATGCTTAGCATCAATGTTACGCTCATCTGCTCGCCACCATGATTGCCACCATCGTCACTATTATCAGACGCAGTGCCCACCTGAAATGAGGCCTGTGAGCCAAACTATCACGAAGTTTAAGTGCGATCGTAGTCTGCGGCTTACCTCATGTCCCCTTACTTCTCTATGCTACGCTTTTCCGTCAGCCGAAAGATCAGGGAATCGAGTCAACTTGACCACGCAGCTGTATCTTGTCGTGAGTAATCGAGCTGCTTGCGGTGATTTGGGCAGAAGCCTAATTTAGCCTCTTTAATTTCAACCGGAACTCAGGTAATCAAAACCTTGAGCAGCCTTTCGGAACTCCGAAGTCTGTCAGCCCGTGAAGCAAAAACCTTTGTAAAGAGTTCCCTCCGTCCGGCCGGGACGGCCTTTCATTCTCTACGACGTAGACGCGGGAAAGGGGGCCCTTGAAACAATCGCCTCTGAAGACATGCTAAGTGCTGTACTCCGACAACCTCTTGCTGAAGAGGAGATTCTCCGGAATCCGCAAATCCAGAGCGCGGTAGCAGAGGCCGCATGTCTTGTGAACTAGGGTTTGAAAAGGGGGCTGTGGTGAGTATGCCCAGCGCTGCGCTTGAGTAGTTGTGAGTGTACATGTTGGGAGAAGCTCAAGCTCATGTGCTGAGGGTTTTGTGAAGCAAAGCCGGCTTTTGGGATGGATGACAAGGTTTACGGCTGGCATTCAGGCTTTAGCGCTTCGAGATTTCCACACTCCGAACCTGTGAAGGCTCAAACTGCCAAGGCACAGCGTCGTGAAATCCCAACTTTAACAGTGACAACGGCTTTCGGCTTGAGTTTTTTCTCGAACCTCATAAGAAGCCCATCACCTCGGAAAGTATTTTTTGCGAGGTCCTGGGGGGTGACTTCGTGGTGCCTTGCCTGCATGCTCCGGCTTCACGGCTTGGGGCTTCACATCGATGAAAGCCGACTAGCCAACCCCCTCTTCCCCAAGCAGCACCAAAAGCCGGGCAATCCCTTCAACTCAGAAGGAAGAAACTACGCAGGACTTTGCTGAGGTGATTGTGTTTTTTGGGGCTCAGCTTTTCTCGACCGCTTGCTTTCAGAGTTTGCAGCCTCCTCTCGGGAGTTGCGACAGGGGCAGGTGAGCTGTTTTGGAATGCGGGAACTCTCAGCTCAGTTTTCGTGCTTCAGGTTTTAACGATTTCGGGTTTTAGTGAATGAGGTTTTAGGATTGAAGGCGTAGAGTTCAGGGACAAGGCTTCTGCGCTAAGGTAAGCAACTGGATGGCCAACGTCTTCCCCCCCGCCGCGACTCGTCCCGATCGGCCCTTGAGAGTTTACACATCTTGCAGTCTGCTTGGAGATTGCCGGGTTCTTTCTGATAGCTTTCCCAGCAGAACACTGAGAGACTTAGACTTGAGGCCTGGCTGTCAGATATCCCATGGAAGCCAGATCCTGGAACTTCAAGAACTGCTGGGGTCCATGGCTTAAGCCTTTCGTTTGGATTCCGGCTCTGGACTCTGGCCTGAAATGTGTCAAGGAAAGCTTTCCGACCTCGCAGCTGCCCATGTGTGAGAGAGGCCCAATCTGTTGGCATGAGGAGCCTACAGGGTTTAGGATTTGGGAGTCAACACATTTAATCTGGGTCTCGGAATCCTTGTTCCTGGTTTATTGAGGCTTTCTACTTTGGTATTGTTATGCAGGCTCCTGCGTCAGTGCGGCGAGTGTCCCAGGTTTCGTCAATGTACTCTGGTCATAGGTACTGTAACCGACGCCACCACAGCAGTCAGTTTCATTTTACCCTCCGGCCCGGATTTTGAGCATTTCTTGGTTCCCTGATGAATTATGAGTCTTTTATGAAGACAGCTGGCCTGGTGGCCTGGAAGGGTCGTCTTGAAGGGCAAGAAAAGAGCACCGTCAAGTATGTCGAGGTTCGGGCTATTTGGAAGATTTGCACGGATTCTTGAATCCTTCAACATTTGGAACGTAGGTCGGAGTGCTCGGGTGTCGCGGCCCATAACCCTCCAAACACCAGTGCTTCAAAACTGAACAGCCCTTCAGAGACCCCTTAAAGGCTCCAAGGTATTTCAGAAGTCAGTGCTCGAGAGACGCCGTAGGGAGATCCCGAAGTTCCAGAGGACGTGGAGCTCACCATGGCTCTGCCCAAGTCTCACTATGCGCAGCTCCTCAGCTGCTCCGTTCGGTGTAGGATCTCGGGTTAACTCGGGTCAAAGTCGCAGGTGATGGAACTTAGGACGTAGTGCGCACGGTTTTCTTGATTCGGAAATCGGGTTGTATAGAAATTAGCCGACAAGCCCTGGCATCAAGGACCCGCGGCTTCTCAGCTGCTCGGGGCACGAAACAACTTTTTGCCATAGCCATTCTTCCCTTCATGTACCTCCGCAAAGCAACCAGGTTGTCCAAAGAAAGGTTCCATCGACCAGATCGCATCCGAAGTCGTGGTTGGGTTGCGGTTTGAGAAATGTAGGAGGCACGTGCAGCTAGGAGGGTTAGCAACGGTTAGCAATGCCGGGTCTTGCGGGCCAGTTGGGGGACCCCAGTTCGGATGACTGGTGTTCTGCCAGTTCCGAGTGTGTGGTTTCGAAAGTTTTCGCAGCTTGGAGGATCGAAATTTCGATGGTATCAACCAGGAACAGGTACCCGATTTTGGAGCGACCTTGAACGCTGCTCGTACAACAAGCCCGTGTGGATGCTCGAGTGTCAAGTCAGGTACATTGCGATGGCATACTTCCCACAAGACGTTCAAGAAGTGCCTCGATGTGATTTGGAAAGCCTTGTCGCGTAGACGTCCTTCCATTTCGGCTCTGCCACTGCTATCGTATGCTGAGCAGATACTGCAGTACGCCTACCTTACCAGTGAGGCGAAAGTGGTGGGGTTCGCACTTCAGCAGGAAACATGCGTCCAATCAGCCAACACGCCTTTTTGCATACTCAACACTTGACCCAGCAACCTCTGTGCGAAGGAAGCTGTCGCATCCATCATATCATGACATCATAGTTGCTAGTGTCATCACCTTCGCCATCATCAAGGCTGCATCATCGGCTTCAAAGCATATGTGGCGAAAGATCTAGCACATGAAGTCTTCAAGTCTTGGAACGGACTGTAGATGCGCCCTCACAACCTCATGTCTGAAAATCGAAAACGTGAATTCTTGCAAGAACTAGAGCTTCTGGTTTGCGGATTTGCTGGACCATGTCAGCGCGTAGCCACGAGGGGTTGGGTGACGCCAATCCAATAGGCCTTGCACCCGATGTATGTGTAGTGCTCACAGGACATGGGCTATACAGAGATGATCTCCGGATCACACCTTCTGAGTGTGCCACATGAGACGGCTGGTTACCAAGGCGAGCGGCTTAGCTCCAATTCAGACCAGGTCGCTGGTTTTCAAACAGGTTGGTTTGGGTGTGTCGCCGGTTAAAGTAGACAAACATGGAAGTGCTGGCGACAGCATCCGTGAAACTTCACGGCTAGTTCCACGTTCTCGTTCCCTTCTGTCTTGGCTCGAGGACCAAAAGGCTTCAAGGCTTTGGCTTAACGAGGGGCCACAACAACGGCAACAGAGCGAACCAGTCTTAGCATCACTTCTGCTTCTGAGGCATGGTGCTGTGAAATTAACAGTGTCGGTGCGTGATGTGTGTTTATTTGTTGTCGGTTTCTTGTCTCTTCCATTACAGATACATACACACGCACACATTCACATGCACGGTTTTGCTGTCATTCGTGTGTGTGTGTGTCTCTGTCTGTCTGCCTGTCTGCCTGTCTTAATGTCTGCCTGTCTGTCTGTCTGTCTGTCTGTCTGTCTGTCTGTCTGTCTGTCTGTGGGCTCGGTTACATGCTTCTGTTTGCATGTGTGGCGAATGCACGAATGCTGCAGCATCAGCCTTTGAACGTGTCAGCGCAACACCTTCGAATATCGCAGCGATGCTATCCTTGCTCATGCCCATAGTTCGACTTCCGAATAGTGTGCATGTCGTGATGTGCAAAAGACGAGGTATCACTACCCTGAGAACGATTCAGCCTGGCTTGCTGGATGGCCTCCTGGATACAAGAATGCCCTTTGCGGGTTCAACTCAATACTGGCTGCGGTAAGTAAGCGTGCTCCTGCCACATACATGTTTGAGAACGTACGTCTAATGCAATCTTGCCTAGACTGGGTGGTAGTGAAATTGTAATTGGTGGTGCGCTGGTAGCTAAAAGCCCTCAGAGTCAGCCCAGCACACAGTGGTCTTTCACAGCGGAAGCCTTCCATTCCGACGTGGGCATGTTATGATATGGAGTCCTGTCACTGCTGTATAGGTGTGAAAGATTTTTTTTGTTGTAAGCATTTTGCCAGGGGAGTGGCCAATTCTGCATGGTCCGGTTTTAGCCTCACTCCCCGATCCTGCAATACTTCAGGCCAGCGACGAAGATTCTGGGAAAAGCCGGCTTGGTAGTCCTGAAGCACCCGCGAGCTCTCCACCGCCACTCTTTGGCAAAATTGGGTTGGGTTGCGTTTCAATTTGCCCAACTTGCTTCGTTAGGGTTTTTCTGTAGAGATGGTTGGGACAGTACCATGTGACGATGTGATGTTGATATGAGGTTGGGTCTGAGCTTGTCGCGAAGTTGGTTGGCCCTTGGGTTCTCGTGAGGTTGCCTCTTGTCTTAACCTAAGTTGAAAACTGCAAACGCCTGGCGCCGGGCGAGTTGACGTCGCCATCGTAAAATGGCGCTGCGTCTAAGGCCGGCACGATTTGCCTGGCGCCATAATGTTCGGTCGCACGAAACGGCTCTTTGGGCCTGGCGGCACGCCGATTCGTGCCTCCGATGGTTCCGATTTGACCACATCTCGCTGTTGAGGCGTGTCCTCGTCCTCCGGTCAGCGCGATCTATTGTATGTTCAAGTTCAACACACTTTGGGCTTACGTTGGAGTGAAAACAATGAATGAATCAATTAATGAATGAATGATGGATGGGCCAATTGATGAGTGAGATGGCAGAGGTTCGCATGCAGCTTGTTTGTGTTGTTACTTGTTCAAGAGACTTAGAGCAATTTGCACGAGGTGGATGCATCTGATACAGCCTCCGATGTGTCAGGACTGGTTGAAGACACGATGAATGTTCTCGAGAAACCCTGTAGCAATTCAGATATGGATAGCGGAACGGCAGCTCGCACGGAAATTCAGGCCTCCCTTGGCAGTCAGACTCACAGAGAGATGCGAGAGCGAGCTGATGGAATTGTATTGACGACACAACAAGCACAGCAAATCGACGATCACGGGTCTAGCTCATACGGAGATAGAGATGCACAACGCACAAAATCTTGACGAAGTAGCCGGCCCCTCCAAGGCAAGGAAGCATGGATTCAGTGCCAGGCAGTCCTTGAAAGCCTTCGTCGCTCAAGTCTAAGCTTTCTATCTCAAGATGATGCTCGGCGTTACCTCGTTTCACAACACTTTTGTACTTGCTCTCTAATTGGGTATTTTTGTTTGTTGTGGCCTGTCGCTTGCTGCTTGTTGATTGTTGTGGTTGTTCTTGTTGCTATTACTGCTGCTGCTGTTGCTGGTCGTGGTGGTGGTGGTGGTGGTGGTGGTGGTGGTGGTGGTGGTTGTGGCGGCGGCGGTGGCGGCGTTGGTGGTGCTGCTGCTGCTGCTGTTGTTGCTAGGCTGATGGTGCCGGTCCTGGTTTTGGTTGTGGATGTCGTAGTCGTTATCGCTGACCTCAAGAGCACGGTAAAGATCGAGATCAAAAGCTCTGTTGTCGATTCGATTGATTATGGATTGTCGGTTGTGAAGCCAACTTCACGAAAAGGGTTCGGCAGCATAAGCCTCAAAATTACAGAGAAGTTTCTTTGTGCAGCTATACCCGTAGTGTCGAATTTACCATCCTGAAGCGCCAAGCAATCGTCCACGAGGTTTCGCCTCTCCATCCCTGCATCGCTCTGACTGGCGCTGGGCAGTGAACATTGCTTCTGGACGTCATTAGGGTCAGCCTTCCAAGGCTTGGATCACGATTCCAGGGGTCGTTCGTAGGACTTCGCCGGTCGGTTTTCACTTCATCAAGAATCCTAATTCGCACAAGCTTGTGCGACATCCCCAGGTTCCCAACAGAGAGTTCCCAATACTCCGAACTGCAAGGTGACAACATAGTGTCCCAAGCCTGATGCCGACTGCCCTGAAGCCTGAAACCGGAACATCATGGCACAACAAAACCAACATCGTAAAACCTACACTCCAAATCCTGTCGTCCTGCAGCCAAAAATACCGAAATCAACCACCCAGAAAGCCGAAAAGGACTTCGTTCGGCTGCGTCAGCCCCGCGCTTCGGTCGAACATCACAACAGGCTCCCTGACAGCCGAAGCGAAGGGCATTTGGGTCTGTGTAGGGTTTGAAAATGATAAGCCATAGCCAATGTTGGTTCGGTCTCAAGGGCCTAAAGCGAAGGCATATTGCCATCCAACACCTCCGCAGCATTCAGGATGGATTCCTTTGCAGTGCTTCGGCATAACGGACCCATACATCCAGCTTTCTTTGCGCTCGAATCTACTTGATTTTTCGCTAGGACGGTTTGAAGCCTCTGGCTGCCCCCGACCAAGACCGCCGTCTTTGTTACGTTTGGAATTTCAGGTAGAGTTCGGCTTCGGGGCTGGGCTTGTGTGATTGGCTGATGAAGCCGTGAAGCCTAAACATGCCTCAACCGTCAAGTCAAGACCGAAACCCGACGCCCTAAAGCCTGTAGCAACAAGGCTCATGGAGGTGGTCACATCTGGATGGCCACCGCCTGTCCTGGAAAGTCTAGACGATCTCAAGGAACAGCCGCCTGACGGGAAGATGGGCATCTCAAGATACAGGTCCTATCCCATCCGAAGGTAGTCCTGGTGTGTCGATGCATCGGCCTTCATGTTGTAGTTCTGGCGGCGCTCTGAAGCATTGCAATGATGATCACTGCCGAGGTATCCGCGCTGAGTCCAAGCAGGGCTCAGGCTTACCAAGCTGTTCGAACACTCGTAGCAGTCTACGCGTGCAGTGTAAAGGGATCCCTAACTCACCATGCATTCAAGATGGAGCAAAGAGACGTGTTTGCCTCACATGAGACATATGCCCAAGCTGTGCTTGCCCCTCAGATCCGGAGACAAGCTGTATGCTGTACCCCGAAATCCTTCAGGGCATGAATGTGGAGGCCTAAAGGACTCTGTATTTACGTTAATTTATGCGGACGCATTTCCTCGAGCCAAGCTTAAACCCGCGAGCCGCAGCGGCCGACCACGCGATGTCAATATGTCCTTCGCATCATAGAGATCAACCCGACAAGTTACTTCGAAATGCAAGACTAGGAGGCATCTTTCCAAGCTCCAGGTCAGCAAAGGTTCGTGCGGCCTATGGCTTTGCGGCACGAGGGGAGGAGGATGACCTGGTTGAGTGCCTTCGCACGCAAGTTCACATAGAGACAGTGAAGACAACATCCCGTCAGAAAGGCCTAGGCTTTGTCTCCAAGCTACCAGAGCCCAGGCTCTTCCGGGCCCTGACCAGCTTCTTGGTCAGATTCAGCTGGAGTCGTCCTGGGTGCAGCTTTTGTATTAGTGCATGACATGGCTACCTTGACGATGAGGAATCTCCGACTTGAGCCACGCCGACCTTTCTAGCCCCCAGCTTCACACAGCTCGGGCCTAGAGATTCGACAGAAGGCCGTCAGCCTCCCACTTGAAGCACCACTGGCCCCGAATGCCGGGACCCTGCGCGACCTCTTTCGCGAAGATGCTTGATGAACAAACCTGACCAGATATATGGTGAGTTGTCTTGTGCTCTCAATGTGAAGCCTAGCAGCCTAGCAGTCTGGGGACAGTCCCGTGACACGCGGCTTGAGAATTTTTGTCCCAGCCTGGGAACAAGGCTGTGATCCTCCGACTCGCGTGGCCGCCGCGGGCGGTTTGGCGGCGGCGGCCGGGGCAGCAATTGGAGCTCGCAAGATTCAGCTTGCATCTTAGCGTTCTCCTCGATGTTGGTCCTAGTCACGGAGCCCTTGTTCTCAAAACGCTTGCTGAAACAAATGATCTGGAGCTACGTAGCTGAAATCTTGTGTTGACATTAGAGGTACCAGGTCCGGGGTGTTTATTGTTGTTGGATCATTTGTTGACTGTGGCTGTGCCGATTAAGACAGGTTGCGATGACAGCAGAGCCCTCTGCTTCAGTCTTTGCCGTCGCGACTGTGTTCCGGAGTGCCGGGTCAGAATGGGAGGCCGCCCGTAGGGTTGGGAGGTTCAAAGCTCAAAGCGGTCGAGAACAGCTTGAGTTGGCAATGACCAAAGGCCTTGGGCACCAACTGCAGAGAATGCCGGCAGCTGGAAGACATGCTGATCCAGACCTTCGGACCCACAGCCGATGTTTGGGTCTTCTGGTTTCATCTCTTTGCTCGAGAGGCTTACAAAGTTTTGCAGACTCCACAAGAAAACGCCCTGGCGGCTTGAGAGCTGGTCTGAAGTGTCTTCTTAAGGTTCAGAAATTCCTGATTTGCCGACTAGGAAAGAAAAACCTCGATGGAAGAAGAAGAAGAAGAGCAAGAAGCGCACGAGCTATAGTGCTGGTTCAGGGCAATGGATCTAACCGATTTCGTCATTGGTCAGGATGACTGTGCCGACATTGCTGGTGGCAAGAGCAGCAAGGAATCAGATCTCAAGTGGAGCAGGTTCCGAAACGGTGCATTCGAGTCCGGTAATACTCGCCAGGCAGGCGAGTGTAGAAACCTCCCTTCTGCAAGGCAAGCCTATTGAGAAGATGTCCCCGAGCTGAAGACCGATGTCGGAGCTCTCAACGCAATCGCATTGGGAATCACTTCGTAGTGCCACACCTAGTCCCGCCGAACTCTTGCACCCCTTGCCTCACCTTGATCAGCTGCCTCAGATACAAAAGATCCATAAGCCACAGAGGTTTCGTGTCGATGCTCCCAGTTGAAGGATGGTGTTGGGACAGCTCCGAAACTCACGTGCGTCCCATTCTCTGTAAAAAAGAGGATCACGTCCTTCAACCTAAACCACTTTGTTGCGCGGCAGTTTCGTCACAAAATGTTCAAAGGAACGTTTCGACGGACTTGCAAAGCTCTGTTCGGGAGACTGCGCTTGTCCACATCAGGCGCAAACCTTGACCAGAAAGCTGTACACACTGCCCATAGTCACTGAAAGCACACACCGGCAGCAGCCAGCGGGGGAACGGACCTCTGGTGACTCAGGTGGGGGGTACACGGTCGCAAGAGGGTGGCCGGAAACTCGTGCCAAGGCCTGGTCAAGACTTCGCGACACGCCCATCGCATCCGTGGAAGACAATTCGTTGCAGATCACCAACTGCCTCAGCCGAAGATTCGACGGAATGTTTGCGGCGCTTGCTGCAAGCTTTTCTTATCCTGTGGCGCGCAAACAAACACGACCCTTCTCTGTTGTGAGACTAACAGCCAAAGGCGATTGACATCAGGATCTAGAGTTTCACCCAAATGGGCGACCGTTGGTCGCGGCATAGCGCACAACATTCGCGACCGCCAGGAAAGACACCCCTGCCCTGGGTGAGCTCCGACTACATCTGCCGCTTGGCATCAACGTCTTGGCTTCAAGAACACATCCAAACAGACCAACGCCCTGATTGCAACCATGCTGATGATGGCATCCCACCCATAACCTGAAGCCGGCATGTTGGATTCCATACTACAAGCACTTCAAACTGCAAAGGGGATCATCCGAATTAAACGTATCAATTCGGGAACAGCAGCCTCCTTAGCAACATCAGTACAGGAAAACGTTAATGATTGGTAGAGCTGGTAATTAGTAGAAACAGCAGCAACAGGACTAGTCAAGTCGTTGTTGTGGTCGTGGTGCTTCTTGTGCTGGTTGCTGCTGGTTGCTGCTGGTTGCTGCTGGTTGGTGCTGGTGGTGATGGTGCTTGTGGTGCTCGTGCTGCTACCACCCAGGACGACAACTGCCGTCGCTGCCCACTGCTACTGCTTTTGCTGCTCAGGCGGATGCTGCTGCTACTGCTCTTGCCGCTGCCGCTTCGCCTCCTCCTCCTCCTCCTCCTCCTCCTACTACTACTACTACTACCAGGACTACATCATCATTGTATCACCGTGCTTTCGAGGTTCCCACTCGGGCTTTTACGTGGCCGGAGTCTTGGGAGACATGGGCTCGGCAGCTTCGGCTCCCGCGCCCTTCGGCCGCTGCTAAGGCTTTTTGTGCCATCAGCCTCGTGACGGCTCGTGTCTATACACAGGTCACTATACAATAACTTAATCATATGGGTGTGTGTGTGTGTATATTTCTAGATATGTAGAGGTAGATGCACGCAAGGAGAGAGGGAGAGGGCCAGGCGGGCCAGGCAGGTGAGGTGGTCGAAGTCAGCCGGGAACTAGAGCAAGGAATCGGTTTTCATTTCTATAGCATATACATAGATATATGTATATATATATATATATATCTTCTGGTTTCGATCCAGAAAGAGACACACGACCTAAGCAAGAGCCATTGCAGCCAAGGGATGATCATGGAGCCCGAAGCGGAAGCTTTCGAGCCGGCCCTGCGCACACCGTTGAAATCCCAAGCTTAATGACAAAATTCCTTGAAGCTGCTGAAGCCTTGGTATCGTCGGCCATGAGGCTCATGTCATACATTCGGCGTGCGGCCGACGGTTTCGACGAAAGCATCGGAGGCTATGGGATCGGCCCGGGAAAGCACCGTGGCCGGTAAGACTTCAGGGAGAAAGAACTCGTGAAGGGCTTCTTGGAGGGCTATTTGATTGAGAAGTTGATCTTGTTTACAATGGTTTCATGCATCTGGACTTGTGTCTAGGCGTGCTTGCGAAAGGTTGGGATTTCGAAGATTGTTAATGAGAAGAGGTGATGCACACTGGCCGGCTGCTTATCTATATACCTATACGCCTGCAAAATACCTAGCTTGCCTAAATACATATAAGCATACGTGCATATGCGCATACCCACATATACAAGTATACATGTGTGTATATATATATATATATACACATGCATACATATGCATATATGTATGTATGTTCTTTGTATACACATACACAGATGTGCATGTAGGTGTATATATATATATATATATATATATGTACTGTAGTTTTTTCTTGTTTATCTATCGGGCCACCAACCAAAGACCGCGAAGGTTTGGATTTCTTAACGGATCCCCTTTTCAAAGGAAACCTTCTGAGTGAACCGTGTTTGTTGGTAGGCTTGGACGACTTGCAGGAACAAAACCGCATGCCTTCAAATCGTCTTCTGAGGATGGTCTTTTTGCAGATGATGGAGTACCAGAAGCAGGCCATGTTGTTATCTTGAAAGGCTTCCCAGAAGCATGATCTTGGGGATCCTTAGAATCTTATCAGGGACTCAGTCGGCTCATCCCCCATCGATTAGAACATCGTTGACGGCGGGATTTCGGTGGCCCGCGGCCTGCAAAACCGAAACCCCGAAACGAGGATCCAGTGGGCGGGCTCGGGGTCAAGCTTAAAGGAAAGACATGGGACGCAACGACGTGAAAAGCTGTAAAGACTGCAGCAGGGCTGGAAACCTATAGATTCACCTGGGCCAGGACATAGACGAGCGTTGGTTTGCCGACGAGCGTTACGTTCAGGGAGGCGGCTTGACAGCAAATCCCATCCGATGTGATGTTCGCCCTTCTCCTCATACTGTGACAGTAGCCGCTGGTTTCTTGCGCTGTCTCTCCTGTGCACACAGATGCAGCAGTTCAGCGGGCACAATAAGACTTGACATGGACACAGAGACACACACACACATGCAATTATGCAATGGCGCTGTTCGTGCTAACATTCTGTATCTATTACGCTGTATGCCGCAATCCACAAATTGTGCAGCTTCAACTGCCTCTCCAGTCGTATTTTGTCGTGAGTGCCTGCACCAGTTGGCTTCAAACCTCAAGAGGTCTACTGCACGTGGACTTGTCCACAGCAGCTCGACGTTATACATGTTTCGACCGCAAGACGCATGCAGCCCCGAACCAAAAACAAGACGAAGATGTTCCACGACCCGCACAAGTGACTGTCCATGCCTTCAGGATTTTTCGGCACGCGGCTGCTGGGTGCTCCTGCCACACATGTGCTCGCGTTCAAGGAGACCTGGCCGACAAAGAATTGCACTGTACTGGCACGTTTGAGAATCTGCAGTTGTTTTTGTTGTTGAGTTCTGGTCCTTGGGTTTTTGAGCCGAGTCGGTATCTCTGTGCTATCAGAACGCTGCCAAGCCCCGATGCCAGATCCTCATCACAGCAGCTTCGCATGCTGACAACCTGTCAAGCCTTTTACCCTCCACGAGCCTTTCCATCTCACAGACACTTTGTTCCATCGCTCTTTTCTCCCCTCTCCTTGCTTGATCTTAGGTTCTGGGTTTCCTGGCGCCGGAGGATCTTGGCCCAGAGCTGATTGAGCAGAGCCTACGGATCTGCATCAAGGCAGGTGAGTTCCACAGTGCCACTTGTACAGGGTCAAGACACCAAGGGACGAAGGGCCATGAAGGGAATATTACGTCATTAAGTGCCTGCTTGCGGCGGCGACCTAAACCTTCGGCCCTCGGCGCTGTAGAGCCCTCAGACGCAGAGCCTCCTGCACTGCCTGGCCTGGGAGGCGGTGGTGGACATGGAGATGGAGCTGAGGGGTCTGGTGAAGGAGCTGTTATGCCGCGAAACATGCACGGGCGCGGCCCATACGAGGGGCTATACTGTCAAGAAACTCGGCTTCGGACAAGCTACGAAGCTGCGCCCTTCCTAAACACTGCGCCCGACTTGCAGTTATCAAGACATCATCAGCGAGGTTATTCCACGCGAATCCGCCCAGTTGTCTGCAGAGTTCAGCTCGGGATTAATTTAGAAACCCCTTCGTGGAGGGATCCGCCATTCACAAACCGCGGACCTTCAGGGTCCATGGGGCTTGGGGTTTTGAGGACAAGTCGTGGAGCGGTCAGGTGGCTCATCGTGTGAGGTGCTTTGGATGCGGGTCCTTCGATGTTGTAGCTGCTCTCTCTGTCTTAACAAGATGACTCTGTAGGTTATGCTTGCCAGACTCGTAACTGCAATCGTTCCGCTTGAGCTCCACTCCCCAAGGCCCTACCTCAACCCGCAAAGACCAGCTTGGAAAAGTGGAGTTGTGCTTTGTCAGTCACATTACCGTCTCTATGACGGCCTTCCTGATCTGATGTCAAGGCACTGAGGCCTTGCAACCCCAATCAGTCGGCTTTCGTTGGGGGCTAGGCGGCTAGGTGCTAAAGCTTCCATTCGACCGGACCCCAAGCTCCCGGACCCTGAACTCTGCAGGCCCTCCATCCTCGACCCTAAAACGAAACAGGAGGTGGATCAAGAAGATGGCGCATTCTGTGCTGGGGCTCTGCTGGGCTGGCCGGGGCGCATAGCCACATTGTGAGAGAGCAGAGACACAGTTATGACTTCGGTTGAGTTGAGGAGGCTCATGGGCTAAAGGAGCACAGTTGACTTGCCTTCTTCTACTGCCGGGCTCTTGTTTCTAGTCGCGCCACCAGTTGTGCGAGTCTGAGCGGTTGCAGATCGCAGGGGTAGCGACCACTCTCTCCTGTATTCCCCCTGCAGCTCCGCCACCTAAGACCTAAGCTTCATACCCCTGACGCCGCCCTGACCGCGCGGATCCACCCTGTATCTCAAAGTTGCAAAGCGGCAGCACTGCACCCTGACCGGTGCACAAGTAACATCAACAGATGAAATGTCCGTTATGCTTGAAGGCCGACAGGAAACTCGAAACAGCTGATTGGATTCACCACCCTTGGCAGGCTTCGCTTCATCTATCGCTTTCCCGCGGCACCACCGCCGGCCCAGGCGATCGTCGGACTGCGCCCTGACTTATGGATTGGAGAGGGGCATGTACAGAGGTTAACTAACGTTTCCGATTTGTGGTTTAAGGTTCAGGAATGTGCATGCGTCGTGTTCAGGGTTTACATAGATATAGCCTGGCTGAAGCGATCTCCGAGAGCTACATCGAGCAAGCTTAGAGCAAATGCAGCTTGATCTGCACCATACCGCTCATCTTTGCGCAGAATCAGGCTTCCTGTCTTATGACGAGGATCCTGCGTTCTAGGGTTGTGCTAGTGGTCCCTTGCTCTGATGCACCCCCTGTGCAATTTTCGCGGTCTGGGCGTCACCTGGAATTTGAGTAAGAAGAGCATGCGAAAAGGAGCCGCTTGAGGCATTCCCTGCACATGAAAGCCCACGCCATGAAGTTGAGGTCCGTTTGGCGGTATGTTTCATTTTGCCTTGCGACAACCTCGGCCACCCAAAATGCCTCAAAACCGGATGCACTACGACCCAAGGCAGAACTCGCAAGAATCACCGTTTGGAGCTCAGGAAGCATCTCCTGGCTGCTGCCAGGAAGGCACCTTCGGATGCTGGCACAGACAGAGAATAGTAACTTTCAGGGGTAGGGGCAGGGTCTTCGGCAATGACCAATGCGAAGCCTAATCGCGCGTCACAACGCATCTGCAAAGGCATCGGGTGCTTTGCGCGGTTTGCGCAACAGCATGCATGTTGCACTCGTACGAGAATCCGTCGTGAGAATTTGGCAGATGCTCGTCGAGCTGAACCGCCGCATCGCGAAGCTGCATCTCAGCTGCGTCGAGACAGACCAACCGTACGGATGATAGTTTTAGGTTTCAGGACCGATGTTGTGAGCATTCTGCTGTCCTGGAGATGCCTATTAAAGCTGTCACTGTCAGACTTTCGGTGCGCCTGTCCCTGTTTAGTTGTTTCCTGGCAACTTAACCATGACCGCGGCAGCTGCCACAAGACACGACAAGCACTCCGAAACGGTGGCAAAATCCGGAGGCCACCCGGGCATCAGTTTCGCAAAGCTGCGATCCGCGAAAGCCGAAACAGAAACCCTGCTTGCTGTACATCCTGGTGTGCCACGCCAACGCACTGAAGCATGCAAGGAGCCGAGGTAAGAGCAGAGGCGAGGGATTTTGCTTCGCCTAGATCTCGTCAAATTGTGTGACCCGTTTTCTGGTTCGAAGCCTACTCGGATGCCTCTGTCAATCATCTCAGCTTCCGTAGGAACTTTATGGAGCCAACTGCAGAGGTGGCCCATGGTCCAGAAGACTGAGGAGCTGCTGCGCCGCTACGGTGAGGATCCGGCCCTGGCTAAGAGTAACCTTGGGTGTTTTTCCAGCGTCTATGATTCTGCATTGAAGCTTCGGGTGAGCTGCAAATGGTTTCGGGCATTGGATTTCGCAGCAACCGGTAGACTATCGCGGCGATCAGCCACGAAGGCTGCTGCCGAAAAGTGAATTCGTTTCGGGGAGGTACAAAGTGCAGCGCACCTACGCGAGTCCAGAACAGAAGCCCTCGATGTCCGGACCTGGGCAACTTGTTGTCTGCCCCCCCCTCGCTGTGCCATTGAGCTGCAAGGGTTCGAAGCAAATACGGGGCTTCGCTGCATCACCCCTTCATCACGCCGAGGTTATCACATGTTGCGTATGCCTGTGCTTTGAACGAGGACGTGGACGAGACCAGACTTCGCGAGATCGAATGCCGTGGCTGCGTGACGGCTTCTGAGTCTTGGCAGTCCAAGCTCCATCCCATAGTCCTGTGCCCCAAGGTTGAGCCCTGAAACAAAGCAAGGCCGTAGGTCCGACTTTGAATGTCACATGCAGCTGCTCTGACATAGTCTAAGCCTCGCAACCACTGCACATTTGGTCGAGTAGTCATCTCTTCCAGTATTTACGCCACCCCACTCCAAATAAGCCTTCGTGCCTCCGTTTGCCTCCGTTTGCAGTTGGGGGGACAAAGTCAAATCTTAGTGCGAAGCGGAGATAGCAGTGCCAGCAGGCTGGACGAAGCGCGGGCGAATCCTAAAGCCTTCAGTTTGGGGCTCCTCAAAACGGAAGGCAAGGGACACAAGGTACTGTACTCGTCCAGCCTGAGAATAAAGAATTGCCGCTGAGCCCGCCCACACTGCCTCCAGAAGGAATAAACTGCTGCATCGAACTGAAGACGTGTGTGTTTCCAGCCAAGAGGGATCATGTCCTTGCTTCCTCTTGAAGCTGACTGGTCATATCGAGCTCGGGAAACCGCGAAGCTGGTGCTTCAGGACATGGTCTTCGATGTGGCACCCTGGGTGCCGCAGCACCGCTCTCGGCTCCCTGCTGCTGGTGCCTTGTCGAGATTGGGGCGTGGGTTAGATATATGATGTATGTATACATCTACATACATTGTATATGTAGATGTATGTGTGTATATCTATACAAAGATATATATATATATATATATGTATGTATGTTTAGTGCTCATAGCTCCCCAGACACAGGGTTCGGTTTGGACCTTGACATTGAGGATCTTTTAGATTTCCGCGTTGGGTCCAAAGCTTGGGTAGTCGCGTGCGAATGTTAAAATGCCAAGCATCGCAGTTGTGCGAGGATCTGAGATTTCTTGGTGCGCGATTCGCAAAGTATTCCGATGGATGGCATCGCTGATAAAATGTTGGTGTGATTCCTGTCATCAGTAGTCGTCGTTGCAGAGGTAGAAGTATAGGTGCAATCAGAGGATGGTCGTGGTGGTGGTAGTGGCAGCAGCAGCAGCAGCAGCAGTAGTAGAAGGAAGCGGCGGCGCGGTCATTGTTTTCGTCGTGGTCGTGTTGGTTTTAGTAGTAGTAGTAGTAGTAGTAGTAGTAGTAGTAGTAGTAGTAGTAGTAGTAGTAGTAGTAGTAGTAGTAGCAGTGTAGCAGTGTAGCAGTGTAGCAGTGTAGCAGTGTAGCAGTGTAGCAGTAGCAGCAGCAGTTGTAGTAGTAGTAGTAGTAGTAGTAGTAGTAGTAGCAGCAGCAGCAGCAGTAGTCGTAGTGGCTGTAGCAGTAGTGGTAGTAGCAAGGTGCCGCTCGTTATGTTGTTGTCATAGTGATGTTAGCATTCGAAACTGCGCATAATGACCATTAGACGCACACGAAGGGCGGCTTCCCAAAGCTCAATCAACACAAGATTGGAACCGAGACTGAGCCAGGCTTGGGCCTGGCACACTTCGAGCGCAATGATCGTGCGACGCCAGACTGCGATTTTTGCAGATCATGCTCAGGGTTGCTGTTTATGAGCCGGACTTCAGGAGTCGGAATTTGCTTGTGCCCAAGACATGTGTTTCTTTGGGTTTGGCACGGGGCCCTGCCCTTGGAGGACTTCGATTTGCAGGGAGAATTCAGAGTGTTGGGTTCGGATCGACCGATAGATAGAAGCTAGACTGAGTATCACAAACGGGATGCAACCACTTTAATTAAAGAACACGTATAAGCTAAAACCCCAAAGGCCGAACGACAGGCAAAGGGGTCTGGATTCTTGTCTCTTGAATCTAGAATCCTGAGCAGCACTCCTCGCACAGGGATACCCTCCAACTCAGCTATGGCTTCGTCACTTCAAAGCCTGAAACAGTCGAGCCCTTGTTGAAGGGGACACTTCCATGCAGCAATTATCCCAAAGGACGGCGCTCGCTTGCGATGCCTTCTTGGACCTGCAGGGCCGCCTCTTTGACGCTCTGCATGCAGCAGCGTGTTAGGTGAGTTTGTTTGGATTCCAGGTTTAGAGATTTGCACATCAGACTTTTCATGTGGCTGTCGGACTTACATTTACAGGGTGGGGCAGTACCCGGCACGCTTGTATGGTCATTCATGCTTCTGACTCTTCTGCATCAGTAAATTTAGGGAGTTGGTTTACAGATCAATACATGGATGAAGTGCACGAATCCTGCCTGTATGGTCCTGACCGGCAGTCACCGTAAGCCCTGCAGACAAAGTGCTGACTTTCCACGACTTGGTTGCAGCTAAGATTCGCCCATAGACTCGAAGCATAAAGCTGAGCTGAAAGCTCTTAGCGTTATAGCCCAGGCCTGGGCCGGCGTAGACCTTATCAGAATAAGTCGCCGCTGGGCCCGACAGATCCAAGGCCTCAGAAGGTGTCCTAATGCCTTGCTGCAGAAAGCTCGTAACACGGTGTCTTTAACACTTCAGCCAACCAAAGCAGCAAAGTCACCGGATGGCAGGTGGATTGCAAGCCGAGTCACCACGTTGCTTTCGATCATTAAACCCGGGATCAGATGCCGACAAACCGAAATCCCCACACTCACACGGTAAAGCAACGAGCTCTATAGGGGAAGCTTAAGTGTGCAGGATACTGCCTTCGTGTACGAGCAGCAGCTCGTCTTCCACCTGGGGTCCTTTACAAGTCTTAGCGGCTGCGAAGAAGGAGAGTTCTGAAGACGACGTCAGATTAACACCGCCACCAACAACGACGACGGCAGGGTGAACAGCATCAGCGGAGGATGTCAGGTGAGTTTGGGGTCAGGCTCTTTTTCTAGGTTCCCCAGTAGTACCCTTTTGCGCTTTTTCTCTGTGTGTTTCCTTGTTAAACCTAGATACTGAGAAGAAAGGTTGCCCTCTTTTTTTTTTGACCGGCTACTGGGAACCTAGTTTTGGATTCCGGGATTGAGCAGTCGTGTCAAGGCAAAACAAAGGTTTTGGGCTGCAGGGTCCTTGGTGTTTCAATCTTTGTCATGCTAGCTGTGCGTGTGAGACTCGAAGCTCCAGAACAACACGATCTCAACGACAAGTATTCCCATGGTTCTGCTTGCCACTTCGACCGTAGCTAGCATTGCGCTGCTGATCAGCTGGTGCTGTTGTGCTATGAGTGTGAATCTTAATACTTTGAACACCGTCACTGCAAGTCGTGGTAGACCGTAGTTGTCCATCGGCTTTCCATGCGGAGACCTGCAGCCCTGTGTCCTGGTTCAGCCCCGAAGGACGATCTCTTGCGACTGGAAGATGAGTACCCTCATCTAAAGACCTCGTAAGAAGAGCCATTGCTTAGGATGTGTTTTTTCGGTGCCTCATCCAAGAACTGCTCGAGGCAGCAGGGGATTCAAGCCGCTGCAATCGCCAAAGCCATTCCTCGCTCGGCGGTGGCTGTCATCAGTGCCCGGGTTGACAAAAAAATTCTGGGAGGAGCATCTACGTGTGTGTTTTTAAGACGCAGGTGCATGAAGATCCCCAACGACAAGGGTCCAGGGGTGTGTGTTAAACTTTGTTTGTCTTTTTCGAGGAGGTGGTATAATCGGACCTTCCCTTCTCCATCCCATGACTAGACAGCAGCCCACACAGGCAGAATGGACAATTGTGGGAATGCCATGCTGATGCCGTGATGGTCTGATGGTCGTTCTACGCACTTCTGCTTTTATGACGCAGTCAGTGTGCATGCACACTCAAACATACGACTTTGTCTTCGTGTTCCCGTACAGGTGCGCAGAAGAATCGGATCTTACGACATGCCGGACACCCACCTCATCCAAACGCCTCAAAAAATCAGCTGTAGTTTACAGCAGCAGTTCTACCCTTTCAGCCCTGGCATTGCCAGCAAGTCCCTTGCCAGCCCGTCGCTTGCTCTTGCCATAGGGATTCATTCCCAAGCCCGAGACTTTTGATCATTGAGCCCGAACTCTGGGGATCTGCACTTTAAATACACACGAGATCCCTTGTGTTGTTCATTCCTAGACTCAGATTGGCCCAGAAGCCCAGAAGCTGGTGCGAAACAACAAGCCAGAAATCCGGATCGACACAGGCAAAGTTCTGCTCGGTGAATCACAGGAGAGCCGGGGCTGCTTGGAAACGTCGGACCTTCAATCCTCACCCCGCAGCTTCTGGAACCGATCGTGACTTCCTTTGGGAGTATTGGTATTGGACCTAGATCTGAAACTCGGATACGAGGGCGTTTGCATTGATTCTGGCCACGGCACTTGCGACGTTTCAGCCAGATTCGTGGTGTCTCCTGCGGAGTTTAACATGTCGAAGTTGGGGGTTCAGCCCGTCCAAGTCTTTTTTTGTGTGCGTGTGGGTGTGGGTGTGTGCGTTTCGCACCTCTGGTTTGTGGTCGTTCGGTTCCGGCCTTGCATTTGCACAGGGTGGAGGAACAGTTGTTTCTCAACGGGTCAACATACCAGAGACGGCAGCTCCTCCCCAAATTTTCCCACACCACAGAGCCAGAGAGGAAGTCGAGCTGGCGATCTCTCAAACTGCGCAGCAGCTCGGCGGCTATGCAGATGCCACCTGGCTTTCGAATGAATAGTTTCACCCAGTCCAGGAACCAGGAGGTTGAGACGGTCAGTTTTCCTTTTATCTCGAAACATTTACGGGGCGATCAGTTCCATTTGTATCCTTGCCGCTGTTTGCAGGGGTACTGGGCCTCCGAACCTCAGCTCGCGTGAGGTACTGCTGCTCCACACGCCGGGCAGACCGCTGGGAGATAATGCCACGTTCCCCAGTTGTGCAGCACCCTGCTTGCAGCAGTTTGGCTGGGGTTGAGGTCGGAGATCCCAGTGATCCCAGTGATGCAGGGCTTCGAAGCGGCAGCAACGGCAGGAGTAGCAGTATAGCAAACCTGCTGATGTAGCTAGCAGGCAAGGCACACTATATCAACCAATACACACCACAGACATTTGGCTGGCATAGAGCTCGAAAGCGCGAACGATTAAGAACAAGACCGCTGACCTCAATTATCCGGAGATGGTGACGTTGGTGATGGCGATCTTAGTGTATTCTTTCTGCTGCTCGCGGCACAGAATATCTGGACAGCGTGGGCAAAGGGAGCCTTAGTTGTTTTCTGCTACTGGCAACAAGACCCAGCCGTTGCCGATGACAACGAACATTCTTTGCCACAGCTCCGTCCGAGGCGCAGGGCAGCTGGAAGGACTGTCGGCTGCTGGCCTGGAGGCCACAAGCCCGAATGCGCAGTCGGACAAGGAAAGGTTCTTGCGATTCCTGGTCCTTCCGTAAAGGGTAAGACCACAGGGACCATAAGTTGCGAAAGCAGGATCTTCATCAAAGCATCGAGAGTGGACGAGGGGCGTGTCACCACGTCCCATGCATTATTGTATACACAAGTTCAGGCTTTGCACTCTCTAGTCCGCTGCAGGCGACAGCCCTGACAAGATTATCTTGTATCTATCATAAACCCTGAACCCGGTCCGATTAATGTCCCAAGTGATATCTCATCTTCAATTTCCAGGGCTGCCCAGATTAGGTACTCCATGCAGAACCTTGTTTTGTCACTTCTGAATATTTATCCCGGTTTCCCTGGTCAACGTTCTTATGTACTGTTCTCTCATGTTCTGTCCTTTTGCTTCGCTGCTACACTGTATTCTACACTAAGCCCAGCGAAGCGATTCAGGCAACTGGTACAAGCACAACAAGATGGCTTGGCCAAGGAGCGCCGCTTGGGCAGTTCTCTTCATCCGCCGCAGATCGCTATACTGCAGGACTAGGAAGGACTCTCCCGCTTACGCCCCGACCTCCCATCTCTGGCGCTGGGCTCCGGAACATCAAACTCCACAAACTGCGCAAGAAGTGAGGTCTCGAGAACCTAGCTGTAGCTGCCATAGGTTCTTCCTCAGTTCCACGGCCCGAAGTTTGGACGCCAAGCTTTCAGGAGATTGGCGTGTCCAACTTCGACTGCAGCCACTTGAAGGAGACGTTCGGATGCATTAAGCTTCGCTAAAACCCAAACCGGACGAGAGCAGCACCGTGCGGTGGGGTCAATGAGGGTCGTTGTCACAAGCTCGGGATTGAGGGGCAGACAGGGCTCGGGGGTTAAATCTTTTGGGAGAGTCTTGGCTTCTGTTGCGAATTCTAGTGCGAAGGTCTAAACGACGTCGTCGTCAGCGTCATCGGAGCTTTCCATTTCGGGTAGGTGTGTTCGTTGCGATGCTTAATAGTTTAGCCTCCAGCAGCAGCAGCAGCAGCACCACCACCACCAACATTACCACCAGCACGAGCAAGAGGACAGCTTCCCCATTGCTTACACATTGATTGTCCTCGGCCTCTGCTCCTAGTATGTTACCATCAGTGTTGGTCTTGTCCCAGAGGAGTGGATGCATCTGAGAAGTTCTGAGGATCGAGGCGGCCGGCTTGCCAATGCCGCTGTACAACCAGATCGAGGTGTCGGCGGCGTGCCCAATGAACGAGGAACTCCAGGTTTCGGGGTCTAGAACAGGGATTGTTTGTTAGGCTCCGTGGGATTTCGACATAAGGGAGTGATACTTGTAGGGCTAGTGTAGGGTCAGCGGCCTGGAGCTCCCAGTTTTCACACTGAGACTAGAGATCTGTTGGTGAAGCGACGTCAGAAGAGCCAGGAGCTCCGCTCCTACCAAGCGGCGCGCGGCATCCACACTCTTGCCTACAGTCCTCTTGGAGGCGCCGGAAACCAATCACTGTCAAGATAGAAGCCACTGATTCTGACGATGATGATGATGATGGCGTCATCATCGTGAGGTTATCATCCTTTCCGACGTCCAAGTGATTGAGATTTCCATTCCTCTTGGATACGAATAAACCATTTCAGCCGCTGCATCCCGGGAAGGTGCATACACTCCCAAACTGCGGGAGCAGCTCCGGACAGCCGTCAGCATCTTGCCGTCTGTTTGGGAAGTGCCTGGGGCCTTGGATGTTCACAGTCTTTGAGGCTCTTGGAAGTAGAGTCCGCAACTGATCAAGTGCTTGCTGGCGAAAGGCAGCGTGGCAGCACGTCTTGGGCGGTCGTCGGAGCAGGCAGCTGCACGAAACGCCGCAAGTCAGGGCTGCGCATGCGTGTTTGGACTCTGTCACCCACGGCACCTGCTGGGTTTTCCTTCTGGGCTTGGGTCGTGTTCTGCATCACAGGTTAAAGGAGGAGTAGTGAGAGCATGAGCAGTCGTGGTGGTGATCGCAAGTCGTAGGAGCTGCTGCAAGGTGTTACTGCGCTACGTGGTGCAGCGTTATGACGCCGTTGTCCTTCCGGGCGTGGTTTGGCTTTGATTGGGGACGTGGAAGCTTCGGAGGTTGAGCCATAAGGGATGCGGGAAATCTATTAGTGTTGCATAGGCTTTGCACGGGAAGCTAAAGTTGGATGGCTACACAGTACAGCCATACTGTCTCAGAGTTATGCTCTCGAGGCTTCAACCGTTTGCGAGCAAGAGCATCAGAATGATTCAGCGGAAGGCGCTCGAAGGCGTCCAGAGGCACAACATGCTAGAGATGTCGGCTTAGAGTGATGCATCAGGGGATCACAACGCCTGCAAAATCCCCGAAGGTCAGCCCTACCTCAAGAGTCTCAGGCATCGTCGGTGAAGCACATGGCCGCCAACCTGGACCTGTTTCGATTCGTTGCACGGCCACAGCAGGAGTTTGGGAAGAAAGGGTGTCATTGCGCTGGGTTCGGCGGTGCAGGATTCTGGGTCCTGGATTTCCAAAGTTGGTGAGTTTTGGTCTGAAGTTCCACTCTACCATGCTTTCTTTGGGAAGTAGCTAAATGTCGAGAGAGGTGGAAGACTTGCACCCCAACAGGGATGCCTGTTGGGTCAGCCACCTCCGGCAGTGGCCTTACCAAAAGGTGTTTGAATCCTGTCGGGGATATAAGCGTGCTGTCTCACAAAAATCCTAAACCTGGAGGCCCTTGGGGTACAGATGCCAGGTTCCACACTTGGACTCGAAACTGTTTGTGTGCATGCATATGCAAAGTAGGGTGCTTCTTTTGCATTTGTTGCTGGAAAATCTGGTATCCACGCTTGGTGGGGCTATTTTCCGGCATGTCTGACCAAGGAGCTGACGACAGAAGATGTAGAAGCAATTTCCGCCAGTGCCCCCCGCGAGTGTGCGTATCCCATGTCCCTCAACTTCACGTAAGTTTAGGTTGCAGGAGTTCGGATAGAGGGTGTTGTGGTTAAAGCGGTCCGGATCAAGCAACGGGCCTTGAAGCCGAGAGATCTGGCTTCCGGGTTGAACCTGCTGTTGCTGTGAGCAGGCGCTTGAAAACCAAAGCTCAAGCTTCAAGGTGATGTAGTAAGTTGTCTGGATCTGAGAAGCTCGCGGGAAACCCAGAACCCCATGGACCAGTTTGTGCCAAGGTACCAGCCCGGACAAATACCTTGAGGATTCAGGAACTGCATCTGTGCATTTGGAGGGCATCGCCTTCACGTTTGGAGGCCGCCAACTGTTTTCCCTGGAAACAGAACTGCTATGCGACCCTCAACCTAAAACCCTCAAACAGAGCAGGGCTTGGAAGCAGCTCTTCAGCTGTGTTTGCCCCACTGCTTAGCAAACCCCCTCCAAGTACACCATGTACCCCGCAAGGCCTTGGCTCTCCTCTTGACTCTCCTCCTGCTTGAATTGGACGTACAGGACGGATGGGAGGCGAGTCAAGCTCATGCGGCTTCAGGCTTCCTTTTGCTCCCTCTGTCAAACTTGCAAGGCGGTGCAAGCGCCTTCGCTGATTCCACAGGGGGCTTCGAGGACGACGTACCTCATCGTCGTGAGACACTGGCTGATGGATGAGTGTGTTCGTGATGCGCTTGGTGTCGAGGGGGACTCGCAAGATTGTACTGCGGTTTGCGTTATTCCTCGCAGTTGGCTGGCAAGGTGTCCACAGGTAGTGCAATACTGCACTACGGTATATCAGCGGCCTTCCCGTCGTACGAGCAGGGCTTCGACCCAGGATGTCAATCGAGTCCGGCGTGGTGCAGTTGGGTCATTAGGCTTTGCCGGACCCTGGCCCAGTTGAAAATAGACGGAGCAGGAGATGAACTATGGTACGATTGCGCTCGGCCCCTTACGAAGCCACGGGCTCCAAAGTCACGTGCCTGCACGCCTTCATGCTTTCGGGCATTCTGGGCATGCCGTTATTCCAAGTGTCAGACTTACAGCAAACAAGCTTCAAGCTGAAGTGCACGCCGAGTCAAAGTCGAAAGACTGAGCGACGATTTACTGAGTTTGCAAGAATATGGTCAGCAAGTGGTCGAGGCTAGAGTTGCTACGCACAGCCACAGGGGGACGCCAGGGCAGCTGCGCAGCGCATGCATGTTTACATGCATTGGGCGAAGAGTTTTCACCGCATTGTTCTGCGAAGCCGCATCTCAACCCAAACACAGCATCGGGCGAGTCCTACATGGGAGCAGTCCGTTGTGGCCACTTCTACGGGGTACTGGGCAACCTTCGAAAGCCGCTCATCACAGCATCATGTGGAGTCCATTCTCTGAGCTTTTAATATTTGCTGAGCAGTGCTCTGCGTGGCAAATGGAGTTGCGCCAACGACCGGCCTGACAAGTGCACTGTGCCCCCTACTTGGGATACCGTTCCATTCGACACCCTGCACGGCAGATCGAACAAGTGCTACAGAAATTGTCATCACGAGTGGGCGTTTACGTAAAGCCCAAGTACTCGGTTCGTCCTCTTTCATCCTCTGGAAAGCAAAAGCCCAGAATTCGAGTTGTTTCCGAACGGGTTCGCAGTGAACCACTCGCATGCCTGCTGGCAACCGATAAACTCAAGGTGTTGGACCTCGGGCGCTCACTTAAACTTAAATGCAGACTCGTTCTAAGTTGCCCTTAAGCCTCTGTGTTGTGATACAACCTAGCCCGATAACAAGGCACAACGCATGGAAAAACCCTGCCAGGGCGCTGGTGGCCTCAGGCATTGAGCCTGGTTCAGGACAGGGCCGTGGAAGAGCAAGAAACGGAGCTGCGATAAGTTCAGATGGTAGAGTCTTTATACACGCGATTATCCCAACCTGTCTCTCGCTATTTACTAGCCCAGATTCATGGGGTTAGTCGTAGTCCTTCCAGAATCATGTCGGCGAGCTCACCGTGCGCCACTTCACGTTGATTTTATACTGCACAAGTTGTCAAATCGACCGTCACTAGTACTTTCCCAGTTGAGAGAAGTACTGGACCTGGATATTAGCCTACCCCCAAACAAACGTTTAGTCGACATTCAACTATTCATGAAACCTTCCATGTCCACCGCTTGAGGCCTGGATCAGCCTAGAGCCCTTGGTTAGCGGGCACGGTCCTCCGTCTCAAGTCTCAAGAAGATATGCCGCCATAACATCCTCACAGTGAGACCCAACTTCCGAGATTCAAAAGTAGAGTCCAAGTCTGAACGCTACGGTTGAATCTGTAAACCCTGCGCCAAAGACGGGCTTCTTCAGGCCATAAGCAGAGTCCCGGAACTGGCGGGGACCACTCCGAAGGAGATGGGTCGGCGGCTTCTTGTGCCCAATGTGGTCTCCTTGAACGCAGCGGCAGGGATCCCAGGTCCAGATCCGAGAGCATGTTAGCAGGTCAAGGGCCCCGATGCCCAGAGACTTCCCTCGCATTGAATCTTAGGTCCGGATGCATCGAAGCGGCTTTTCTCAGGCCACGATCGCATCCTTATCTCGCTCGTTCCTTAGGCTCATCGCATTCATGGTGACGAAAGCCACATTATCATGGCTCTTAACAGATCACTGCTACTAGCCTTCTTATGTGGGACAGCTGAAAATCCTCAACACTTCGGCAAACCCTGTCACTTGGACAGAAGCCATGGCCTCTCTTGTGCGTCGCCTTGCTTTGCCGACTCCGCGCGCTGCGAGAGCCACCGCTGCGCCACTCAGAAAGCAATGCTTTCAAAGTATTGCTAAGGGTTGGAGGCTCTTGTTTTTTTTTGAGGTCGTTGTCGGAGGCGTATTTCGGAAAGATGGAGCATTCGTTTCTGGCAACCGCTCTTGTTACCCCGACATGCGTTCAGTGGGGACCGGAATGGAATTCCACATTCGAAAAGGCTCAAGTGCCCTTCCTCCAAATCAACATCGCTATTCCTTCCTCCAAATCAACATCGCCATTTGGTACAGTCTCCGTGTTTTCTCTACAGATCTTGAGGCGTCACAGACCCTTAAAGGATTCAAGCTCATGTTGTGAGGTATGCGATCTAAGGCTTGCATCGTCTTCAAGTAGATGTCTTGGTGTTCAGGTAGACGTCCTGGGTGGGGGGGCTCGACCATACATAACTTCCAGCATTGGCAGCAGGAGTTGCAGGAACCAGTTCTGAGGCAGTATGCTTCGAGGGGGTGGCATCGGTTCGTGGCTCCAGCAGCCTACCCACTCTGTAAGGCAGCCCTCTCAGGATACCCTAGCTTGGCAACCACCAGTCGGTCACGCAATTGCCGCCCTTCTCGAGGTACAGAGAGCTGCCCTGCCCTCAGTGCAATTTGTCGAAGGTGTTGTGCCGGAGTGCGTGAGAGACTTCATGCTCTGCATACATACTCAAATGCCTGGACCCTTTCCGAAGCTCCATATTATGTCCGAAGCCCGAAAGTCTGTGCACCTGATGTTTCTGATAATTGCAACTTTTGCGGCCACTCTATGGCGTGCGCCCTGTACCAGGAGCCGAACCGAGGGTGTCAAGGGCTTCCCGAACGCAGCCTAGCTTGAACTGAGCATGAACGCATGCACAGCTTCTTCGTTCTTGGTTTAAAGTCGGGAAAAGGAGCCGCGTGTTTTTAGGCAGGAGTGTACGTTTTCTGGACATGCGTGACAAGGGGACTAGAGTGACTAGAGGTCGTAGTTGGGGTCTAGGTTTAAAAACATTCCAGCCATTGCATAGACTCTTTATGGAAGTCTGCCTGAGATGGAGATAGGCTGTCTCTCATCTGCCGTGAAGAGTTTTCGGAGCCTTCATGATGTTAAGACCGACACTCAAAAGAAAAGTGGCACGGCATGGTCTGGCTGATGCTTCCCAAGCTTCGGATGTGCATCAACTAAACAACTGAGACACTACTCGTGTAACCCTGACACTTAGTTGAGGCGCAGTTTGTAAACCTGTTGTCAGGGTCACTTCCTAGCTTTGGCGTCAACCCTGCCCAGAATCTTGCACACACACACACACACACACAACAGTGCACATTGCAAATCACAATCGCTACTGTGCTTGCTGTCATAGCGAAAGTCCTTGGGCTTTGCCTTGTGGCATATGTCCACAGAGCTTATGACCCGGGCTTGCTCCTAGACTTCAAGAGGTCGTCATTGCGTATCGACGCTGTGTGTGTTTCTGGTACACACAAACTCTAGAATACCCTAAATGTGCGTAACCCATAAGCCCCCATACAGGCAGACGCCGCTAAAGCAGGCCCTACATGTACACAAAAACTAAGCTCACAAGCCTAAGTGTCCAAATCCAAGCATGCCACAAGCGTACACGCCACCCTAGGGATCGGAGGCCTCAAGACCCAATATTCCCTAGATCCTGATAGTGAGTCCTGCCACGTCGATACTCGGAAAGGTGAACGCCCGCTTCAAGCAGGAGCGCAACTTACTGGGTTAGATTATCATTATGTTGGGAAGGAAAGCTTTAGCTTGCTCGCCTCTTACATCCTCTTACAGTAAGTTCACGATGCTTTTTCCCGGCTTTTGTGGTGGCATCTAATTGGTGATGGGGCAGCGCGGAGCTGTGCACGGTCACCCAGGTAGAATTGCAGCAGTGGCAGTGGCATGGCTGACCTTGTCCACGAAGACACGGGCACAACCCCAAAGCTCCCAGTGGTTTGACATTGCAGGACCCTCCTCGACGCCGCGACTTTCCAACCGAGGAGCATGTGCTACCGCGAATCCTAACGTAAAAGCGTCCCGACAGTAGCAACATCTGCAGAGCCCGATGAATTGCAATGTGCAAGCTAGAAGGAAAAAGCCTACGGCCCAATGCCCCTAAACCCAACTTTGCAGGGAGCCTCTGTTCTGGGATGTGAATTACCACTGCACTGAACATTCACTCAAATGGTGAGAGGACAACAGCTCTGGCAAAGCTGGAGCACGTCACTGGGAGGAGTCCTGGTCACCTCCTTACAATAGTGTCTTTTGGATTTCTGGATAAGATCATCAGACGTAGCCTCGTGACCCGTTTCTAGAAGTTCGTGTATTGGCTTCTTGTGCTGGTGAAGGTGACGAGGATGGATTCTGCAGTGGTGATGATTCTGGTGATGAGGAGAGCAAGGGCGATCAGGAGGCGGCGTGGGATGACGAGAATAATGAGGGTCGGTGATGATTTTTTTCGGGGAAGATCATGACACGTTTGTGCGTCTGCACGGCTGAGCAATGCGCTGGCTAAGTCGCTGTTGCTGTTGCGTGTTGGGAAGCGTTTACACATTTGTTTGCTGAGTACCTCCGGCCCTTATTGTCCTCCTCATTTGCCTCCTCGTCCAGGGCATGAATAGTACCTCCATCTCTACTACAACTAGCATCACAACCTCAACAAGAAGAGAACCACCACCACCACCAGCAACAGCAACAACAACGACAAAACACTGCGACTGCCACCGCCACCACCACCACCACCACCACGGCCGCCGCCGCCGCCGCCGCCGCCGCCACCGCCACCGCCACCGCCACCGCCACCGCCACCGCCACCGCCACCGCCACCGCCACCGCCACCGCCACCGCCACCGCCACCGCCACTGCCACTGCCACTGCCACTGCCACGACGACGATGACAACTACCGCTACTGCTGCTGCTGCTGCTGCTGCTGCTACTACTACTACTACTACTACTACTACTACTACTACTTCGCTACTACTGCTACTACTGCTACTACTACTACTGCTACTGCTACTGCTACTGCTACTGCTACTGCTACTGCTACTGCTACGACTACGACTACGACTACTACTACCACCAGCAGTTGCTAGCACCTGCGCCTGAAACTGTTCGTTTGTTTTCATGTTACTGCTGATCTCTTGTAAGGTCCGATGCCGACCTTCGGGCCGCAGCAGCAAAGCATACGATGCTGACATGGCAGGGAGGGATAGCAACGCGTTGCATCTAAACCCTGCGCTCACGTTGGTTCTGCGATAGTTAGGCCGTTGACTTTCGACCACTTGCATTGCTCGTGCTTGGTCAGTTTCATGTGAAGTGAGGGTGGCAGCCTCGCTAGGAAGTTGGACACGCGTGCAGGTCACCTTCAGCAGTCTTGGAGAATCTCCCCGTGGTCGACCGTGCAGAGGCAGAGTGACCTTTCGATTGTAAGGTTTCTAGCTCAAGTCGGCTTTCAAGAACCATAGTCTGCAACAGCGCACATGTTGTTGCAGGGATGGGAGGGGTACCACATAAAGCAGTCCTACTCCAGAACTGATTCCACCCAGTCGCCTTTCTTATCGTGACCTTGAGATACTAGCAGGGGGATTTTGAACTCCGAGGCAGTGCCCCTGTACAATTTCCCGTCATTCCGGACTCTTGACCCCGATTCGATCTTGAGCCTTCAACCCTGAGGGTGTCCAACCCATAACCCTTGAGAGCCTCCGACAGGGCGTTTACGTGTACGACTCCACGGGCAAGAAGTACCTGGACTGGACCTCTGAAGCTGTCTGTGTTAATCTCGGCCACACCATGCCCGAGACGGTTCTTCGCCTGCAGATGGTGCTCGGAATTCGTTTTTGTTTCTGGTGCTTCATCAAGGGTTCACCCGTTCCAAGAGCCGCCTCATCTTCAAGACACTCCTCAACCTGCCCGAATTGGTAGAACAAGCGATGTATGAAGTGCACACGGTGCGGTGCCGTGGCCCGATGCAAGTCTTGTGCTTTCCATAGATCACACTGATCCCAGAGTTAAATCCCAATGTTCTCGAACTGGATCAGCAAGACTACCGCGCATTTCGGCCTGATGTGGTGCCCCGCCATGCTCGAACTCGACATTTCTAAGAGTTGTTTCAGGGCAATGCCACTCGGCTGTTTCGGCCTCCCGACACCAAAAACCGTGCTCCCGCCAATTTCGCTGACCGAAGTCATGCTGACGGTTTGGGCCCAGGCGGGCATTGGGTGAAGACACTTAAGGCTGCGACAAAAACGCATGTCTTGATCCGCTGCACTGAGCATCGCAGGAGACCCGGGGGAAAGCTCCTGAGGTTTTGAGGTTCATTAAATGAGACTGTCAGAATGTATTGAATCAGTAATTCACCACAGTGACAGCTTCTGTTTGCCTGATGTGCGAGTGTTCAGGTTTCATGTATTCATGTCAAGTGCATGCATGTGTTTGTGTGCCTTATGTGTATGCTTGCGAAGTGTCTGTGCAGTGTTGCTCCGTGCACATGTATCTATTTCGAGCTCTACTTGTCTAGTCCCCGCACACGCGCGCACGAAGAGGCAGGCAAGTTACTACACAGCAGAAACAAAGAACGCGAGGTCAAGGCTGCTATGCGGGACCAGATGGACAAAGCATCTTTCATCTACGGCGGCATGGGCTGCTTTGGCATTGGTTACAGTCGTCAATCTCTTGGCCTTTGAGAGATTCTGGACAGGGTCTGAGGGTCGAGCGTTGCTTTATCCCGGGTGCAAGCCTGAAATCTAATCAATCCACTGCCGCAACACCTAGGCCAAAGTACGAACAACAGTGCCCGAACCCTCTCGGTAACAAAATTCGCTCGAAGCACTCTCAGGCGCCCAAAGTCCGAAGCTAAATTCTAAGCTGTAAAGCCTAAGTCAACTTCAACCTGACCCAACCCCCGAAACCCTATATCTGGAAACCAGATCTCAAAAAACTGCCAAGGCCTCGTCGAGGTGCGCGTGCGCTTGGCATCACTGCTCGCAGATCTGGCGCCAGGTGACATCAACGGCGGCCTGGCACGAAGGGCCGAAGGGGAGCATGATACATCATCATACAGCAAAATCACCAAAAACGGCATGCGCCGTAAGACCAATAGTCATGCGCGAACGGGAGATCCAAGTAGTGCCTGGCGCAAATTACTTGTTTTTTTTTGGTCCTGCGGGTGTTTGGGCATTCAGGTTGCGGGTTTGAGCTTAGGGTTTCCGGCCCATGGTCTAAACCGACTTTGTAAATGTGCAATCCTCAGAACTGTAAGAAGGAGCTAGCACAGTGATGTGCTGCGGTTGGAGAAGCCCAGCCTCAAAAAGATGTTTTCGTTGATGTGGTCCCCGTTGTTTCGATTCCAGTCTTTCGTAACTGTGCGCTGGGCATTTGTGTGTCGAAAGTCGAGCTTAGCTTTTACCGATCAGGGGCTCATGACATCAAGCTTTGAATTGTCACTCTCTGGACTTCGGACCGGACAGACTCGGACAGCCTGTGAGGAGCACCGAAGAGGTCGTTGAAGCAGAAAGGGGTCTGAGGCTTTCTGGAGCTGTGCTCACAGCCCTTAGTCCTTAAAAACTGCATTCATGTAAAGACGGGCAGAAAATCTGCGCACAGACCTTCAGCTGAGGCTTTCTGTTCCCTTCCTCGGGCGGCGAGGCGAACGATTGCGCCATTCGACTGGCGCGGCTCTACACAGGCTCATGGGGCACTGAAGATAGGATCCGTTGCAAAAGCTGTCGCCCTTACGGCTAAGGAATTTTGCATAGGCTCCCGTCGGAGTTGTTACCATTATTAGCCACAGCAATACGAGTGGTGGAAGCAGCACAGCCACAGTCATCCTTGACATCTGGTGCTGCAGCAGTGGCGGCAGTAGCAGCGGCTTCAGCAAAAAGCCGGTCGTCGTCGCCGTCCTGGTTGTATTGCGGCTTCAGAACCATCTGAGGCCGATGTGCTGTGTAAAGGTTGCAAAACCAATCTGTGGAGGTTCCTATGAGGAGCTTCTTAGCTTTTGTGTTTTCCGAGTCAGCTCAGGCCTCATGCTGCCGAAGTTATGGGGAAAGTTTCTGCGCCAGGAAAGACAAAGATCTTCAACCAGTACCGCTCGTACCATGGTGGCTCGCTTGGACCTCTTGGTGCGACAGGACTCCGCCATCTCATGCCCCGAACACCGATTTCATTGAGAGAGTCTGCCGCATGAGCATTGTCGACAACATAACATATCATGTTTCTGCAAGTGAACACGCACACAAACCAAACACGAGACATCCTGCCTCATTTATCTCCACATCGCACCAGCTCCGCCTTGTTCCAGCCTGCAACGGGATAATTAGTCCGGGGAAGGAGACTTCCGCAGACACTTCGCCGGAGACTCTGCCACGGGATTTGTCAAGATGAGCCGCGGCTTCAACCCGCTTTAGAGGAGGGTCCGTTGCGTGGTAGAGAGTCTATTCTTGCGGTCTGACCTGCATTCAGAATCAAGGAGGCAGGATGTAAGGCTGGAAAGCTTGACGTTTCAGGTCGATCGCAGGTTGTGCTTCAGCGTTTTCGGCTTGGAGTCCTCAATCTGAGCGAAAGCAGTGAGTACGCCGAGCTACCGGCTCTCCAACTGGATTCCGGCTAGACTTCTGCTAGTATTGCTCGGACTCAAGGTGTTGCTGATCGCACAACTGGATGCTGCACCTGATTCCGATAGAAGTTGGGGCTTGCAAATGCGGCTTTCGATTCGGACAGGCCCGTACCAGGCTTCGAGGGTGAAAATCGTCAAGTCTCTGATTGGAGTTTCGGGACAAGTGGAGCATCTGAGGTTCAACCCGGAGCCGCACTACTTCCGCTGGGGAGAGACGGCACTTTGCTCTTGTTGTGATAATGTCGGAACTTCGAGGTTCCAGGGGAGCAGACGTAGCGATAAAACCTCGCAAAAGCCCAATATTAAGCTCCCTGAAGCCAGTAGAATGACTTTGCGTGATTTTCCTACATTCCTAGGGCTGTTGCGAAACCGAGAGACATGCACTCATGCTGTGCGCGTGTGTGTGTGTGTCATGTTCTGCAAACGGGACACTTAGCGTCACATCGTCTGGAACTACAAAACTCGAGTGTTTGTTCATTGAGGCTCGTTTCAAAGCACAGTCAAATGGTGTTTTATAGGAAAGGCGTCCTTCAGTGAAGAACGGAGACACGGCCCCAAAAACCGTCATTTTCAAGCTGAGCGGCTCATGACTTTATGACAGAATGCGCTCAGTCAATCCTTCCCGCTCCCCTGGCCTGTTGCTGCTAGCTGCCTCGCCAAATAGCTCAGAAAACCCTCAAGATCAGTCGCTGCTAAGCTAAGGACGAGGCAGCTTGTGACATGGCATTGGCATGCTTGGAGGACTCCTTAGCTCAGTTCTCAGAAGTGTGTCCTCTCATCAGCCTAGTTCAGCTTGTAAGAGTCTAGCAAGTGCCATGATGTGGAGGTGTGGGCGAAGGGTTGATAGGAAGCACTCGTTTGGAGCCATACTGCGGCACAGTTCATACCCGAAGCCCCACACCCGGAAGTGACTCAAGACTCCATCGATCTAAACTCCTTGCTTCCCTGCTCAACAGATTCTGGAGCACGGTCATGCTGTAAATGTTGAAGACTGGGTTCTCCGTGCGGCAGGAGCAGATCGTGGCAGAAGGCACAGAAGACATGTTTTGAGAAGCGAGGGGCCCAAATCCCTGTATTTGTTCTGCACGTTAAACATGTGGGTAGGTCCCTGTATTTGTTCTGCACGTTAAACATGTGGGTAGGAGTCAGAAACTTATCTGAACAACTGCTGGTGCCATGCTCATACTTCTGCCTTGCCGAAACCACATCGGAAATAGTGGCTATACCGGACAACGCCCAAGCGACGCGATGTTGATCGGTTCCAAATGTTTGCTTGAGAGGCACGAGAGAACTCAAATGCAGTTCTTAGAATAGCAGCCCATGGCTGGAGATTCAACGGAGTCATACATTCTGAGACCGATACGTGTGACGGTGATGGAGTTGTGGTGGTGATGGTTGCATTGTCGTTTTGACGTCGTGATGGTGACGATGCGAGTGTGACAAGCAGGTCCTTCCACCATCGCTGCGATCATGATCGAGAGCATCCCCGGTTCAGCTGGTGTGCTGCAGCTCGCCGTCATCTCGGTCACTTCTGGGTACTATAGAGAAAGGGAGTTTCAGTGCGCTGGATGAAGGCTGCACCCATTGAAATTCGCACAGGGGAGAGTTAGCAAAATCTTGGGCTGTAAACATGAGCGGCTTTTCAGATCAGTGTACCTTGCGAACTCTCGAAGTACAGGATCTTGCCTAAACCTATAGGGGCCATGGAAGGCGTTTCACTTCTATTGTGAGGACAGAGCGCCTTGATGAAAGTGTTGGTGCTTCCAAGCAAAACAGAGACAGGTACGGACACGGAGACAGGACCAAAACGAAGACGCCCGACGGTGGACGGAGGCAGACGAAGACAGATGGAGAGAGACAAGCCGACCACCGGGGGCGAACACCGACCCAAAGCCTCTTCTCTCCGCAACGGGTGAGGGAAGGGGGTGCCTTGGCACAGGTCCATTAAGTCGGACCTCGCCCCTTCGGAAGGAAGGAAGTCAGGAAGGAAGGAAAAGACCGAGACGGAGGGAGAAAGGGATGGAGACAGACGGAAGGGCAGACATACACAGAGCAGAGAGAGAGGCAGACAGACACGGACAGTTCGCCTGGAGTGGATTCAGTGCTTTTGGATTCTGGCCCAAGCTTTTACTTGACGATGTGTGGTGTCGGCTTGCGGATGTAGGTGACAACACTGAGCCTTTCGCTCTGCTGGATGCAAACCTGAAGAGCCAAGCCTACTGGGTTGAGGCTCACGTCTGACTGCGAGTCATGATTTGCTTGATAGCATGCTATGTCACCGAAAGTTGATCGTCATGAAGTCTTCCGTGATTTCTCTTAATAGCATGCTTGCTACCAAGAGCCAGAAATCCTCAGCCTTCAAGGCACCAATGCTGGAAGGCTCAACCTCCAGCCAGTATGGCTTGTGATTCTGGGTATGTGACGAGTTCTGATATTTTATGGTAGGGGGTAGGGTTCTACAGGCCTACATCTGCAGCATCGTAAGTTCAGGATTAGAATGTGCAAGCAACAAAGGATACCGGCCGTCGGCTACATGGAAGGCCCCGGCCGTGTCGATGGAGGATTTGAGATCTTCGGTGTCGGTTCAGTTTTGCATGCGGGTTAGGAGTCTGTAGGGCCTGGCCGCCTCGAGTTCGTTTATGCTCAATACAGCTTATGACTGAGGTTCTCTTCTGGGGCATGCGGTTTTTGGCGCGCGTACAGGATTGTGCTAGACTTTGGATGTTTGAAGAGCTTTTGCCGACCGTCGAACAGCACAACAGGAAAGCTCGACGCTGGGAGGTATCCGATCGCTGTGCGACAAATACGGCATCCTCATGATCTGTGATGAGGCTTTTCACCGGGGTCCTCAGGCTTCCAAAAACTTGGCCTAGGTTCTACTTCACACCCGAAACCTTTCACCAGAGTCCAGAAGAAAGATGCAATCCATCATCAGGTACATGCTGTCCGGTGCTTGCCCTTGCAGCTCTTGTCTTCTACAGTCCAATTGCTGTACTTGTTGTAACGATGACGGCCTCTACTACAAGCACCACTTCCAGTACTCTTACAAGCATTACCCCGCACTACCTGCGACCTACCAGCAAACACTTCTTGCGCGAAATACATACTGCCGAGCCCTGCATGTGTTAACCCTGCTTGTTAGTATGTCACTTCGTTGCTGCGCGTAGTACTGCTCGTGTTGTTGAAAACATGCACCGTTGGTGTCGTATGGGTGAAGGTGCTCGCAGTTGGCTGCTGCAAGAAGTCAACAGATTTGGGTTTGCCGTGACGCCTTTGGGGTGGCCAGGTCATGACCGGCTTTGGACGCACGGGCGAGCTTTTTGCTTTCCAGCACTTCGAAGGTACGACAACTTTGGACGGGACCGGTCTCTAGTACGCCTTTGAGCTGCTGTTATCGTTGGTACCTGTGCTCATTTGAGAAGTTTCGGCAAGTGTGCTTGTGGCCTCAAGGCTTCCATCAGGCTTGCAGTCTCGCACTTCTTCATCTCGGCTACTTCTTGTCGGGCTTGGTGACGTAAGGCCCTGAAATTTTCTAGTCCCGACTTCACACGGAGGGGCCTAGGACTGTGGAGCTTGATTCTAGGATTCTGCGAAGGTAGGAGCTGGGGCAGCGCTGTAGAAGAGGGGAGATAGGGTTGGAAAACGTTCTATCCATCACCTAATGTAGTTCCTATGTCTGCGTTTCGGCAAGGCCTGTTTCCTTGCTCCTCCAACAGCTCGTGAGCACCAACTTAGATCTGGACAGCTTGCCATGGTTTGTCGTGCTTGCAGTCAGATCATTGAGGGCTGACCGGAGGTGTCATTCCCGACATTGTCACGAGTGCCAAGGGATTGACAGTGGCTCGGCAGAACCAGGGCCCTGTGTTTGTTCGTTGCTGGTTTTTGTCGTTTCCCCATGTTCAAACTGCATGTTTACGGAGTGCAGTAGACACCTTGGAAAAAAGATGCTGCACGGTTACAAAACAGCTTGTTTAAACATCCAATATCTTGAAGGCAGAATGCCAAACAGTCTTCGTGGTCCCTACTTCATCTCCCCGACAGCTTCAAACAACAAAAAGACTCTGCATGTGATTCAGAATCTCGTTGTGTAGGCGAAATGTGCTTTGTTCTACACCAGGTGACAACAGAAACTGCGTCTCCAAGCACTGCCTAGCCCTGGATCTTGGACTCTAATGTTCCGAAACCCAAGACCCGCCCAATGGCTTAGGGCTCATGGCAGCCGCTTTCCGTGGTCGGCGTGCGCCGGGCACCCATGTGTCAGCTTAGGAAGTGAGACTGAGAGATTGGGGTGCAGCTTGCTGAAAGCACCAGGGCATGATAGCTCGAGAGCGCGTCGGAATCGCGGTTCGGGATGAGCAAGCCGGAAAAGCCGGCATCGGAGGAGGAAAGGCGTGCGGGTGAGGGCGATCGTGATGATGATGATGATGATGATGATGATGATTGTTGTTGTTGGTTGAACCGTACACTGGGTCCCCGTTTGTTGCCCACCCCCCACCCCACCCCACCCCCGCACCACCCCCCAACCCAACCCCCAAGCCCCACCACGTGCCCCAATGTATCAGCCTGCTTCCGTGCGCCCACCCCGCCGGTGCGTGTTGTTGCCGTGGCTGTTGGTGTTGGTGTTTTGTTCTTCTCTTGCAGAGGTGGTGTTGGATGGCAGTGCTGGTGCTGGTGCTGGTGCCGGCGGCGGCGGTGGTTGTGGAAGTTGTGAACCCAGGTTCAATTGAAATTTAGAAGGTTCGCAACACATTCTACCGAGGTCAGAAGCTGAAGGACTTCTTCTGGGCCCAG